TAAGGCGTAGATCGGGGACTCCTCATCCATGTATTAAGAATACCATAGAAAGTACACAGAAAAATGTCGTGCGTCTGACTCGGACACCAGAGTAAAGTTCTACGAACCGAACGTGAAAGCGACTTACTTAATTCCGTCTGTCAGATCAGGTAGTCAGGGAATTGGTTCTGGGGCTTGGCGTATACGGTCCACTAGTCTGAAGGTCCATAAGTCCGAAGATTCGCTAACCCGAAGGTCAATAAGTTCGAAGGTTCACTAGTCCGAAGGTTCGCTAAACCGAATATCTACATAATTTTCAGAAATTGTTTTCCCATACAAACCTGCAATTGCAAACATGTACTATATTCAGTAAGACCGTCATGGTAGCTCATTTGGTAGAGCGCTTGCTCCGTGATCGGACCTAAGTTGATGAAAAAATGTTCCTTTGCCCAGCACTTTGAAGTGAAAGTTGCGGGTCCTTCGGAACGTCGAGCCCCGTGTCAAGAGAGGCGTTGGCACGATAAAGAACCCTCACTCCTCAATGGCCCTGAGTGCCGAGTAAAGGTCTAAATTTGAAGGCCTTCACCGCTGCATGGTGACGTCTCTATATGAGTGGATAATTCTCGAACGGGACATTAAACAACATACAGTCAATCCGCCATTTTTGTGCAAATTTCAATAAGACTTCGTACACAACTCCATTCTAATGAACTGGATTCGGTTGCACGAACGTTAGTTAAATTAAGCTGTTAATTGATTGTTAAAAATTTAACTATCAGTTACGTAACAAGCCGTTAAATATGGGTTGCACGAAACGTAATTAAACCTTCATTAGTTAACTGTGATTTAACTCATCGATGTTAGTTAACAAGCAATTAAATACGTCTGCATGTGCTTTTTCCTTACAAAATAATGCAGAAAATGGCTACCAAAAGAGAGAGGTGTGCGAACTGGAGCCTCACGGAAATATCTGTTTTGACGGATTTTGTGGAAAAAAATGAGGAAACGCTAAAAGCTAAACAATGTAACCAGATTACCAACTCGAAAAAAAATGCTATGTGGGCGGAGGTAACCGCAATGATTAATGCCATCGGTGTGCAAAAACGCACCGTGGAGCAGGTAAAATTCAAGTGGGGCAACTTACAACAAGGAGCCAAAAAAAGTTTCAGTGAGGCCAGGAAACAAAGCAAATTGACCGGAGGAGGCCCTCCACCAAAGCCGCTTACTGCCGCTGAAGAGAAAATCATCGAGATGATGAAAGATCGGCCTAACTTCAGTGGCATAGTAGGTGGCTTCGAGTCATCTGTGCCGGCATTTGCAGGTATTTTGCCATATTATGCATCAAAGAAAAACGAAAAATGAAATTAAAATTATATTTGAATCAAATTATCGTTTAATCAAATGAAACCAGCCAGAGACGTATTTTAGAAGTACCGTTTGTTTACATTGTCGTCTGACAACATTGCTCAAGTTGATGACGTCACCAACCATTCACATAACACGTGTAATATTATTGTCATAATAACATAATTCTGCTGTTTTGAATATGTCTTAATTTTTTCCTTAAAATGTAAGACTCACTTGAAAAATCCATTTAAATAGTCCAGCCTGTGATGCAACTAGGCCTCAATGTAATAATGAAGGCTACTTCAGTACATGTCTCGATCCTCTAGTCTATAAAAACTCTATGATCTTCCAAACAGAAAGAATAAAATCGCCTTTTTCACTTAAATATAGCTAACATCCCCTTTATAACTAAGGCTTGTTAAAATCCACATTATCACACGAAATGTTAAATTTAGTCCGATGTAAGCTCACTTTACTCAAAAGTCACAGCCCAACGCATTCTCATACAAAGTGACGTCATTAGTGGGGCACAATATGGGTTGTGATTGCTTTATTTCAGGTAAGAAGCAAGAAACCCATTTCATTATTTTAACAAATATGTAGCAAAAAGAAAAAGAAAACATTTAAGGAGTATCATCGAAATTCTGTTTGAATTTAAGACTCATTCTGAGGCTGACAAGGTCAAGCCCCTTCACATAATCTTGTCAAAATTTGGGCAAGAAACAAAAGGCCCCATCCCGGCCCCCTCCGCACGATTTTGGAGTTTTGTGAGACTGCTTTTTCCTGATATTTCAGGTATTATTTTCAAAAGGTTTCATGATGTTTTTTTTTATTTGATCTTTATTACCTGACCCATTTTCCATGCATCTTGAAAAAAAAACCACGATGCCACGCTCAGCTCTCCGTGCCTAAATTTATAACACACCGGCTTTCAATTGATCCTTTTCAAAGATCCCTTGATCCACTTATAACTGCAACATATTTTAAAAAATGCAGGTATTTTATAGTGTGAGGAATCCTTTTTTCTGATCATAGTTTAAAAAATAATTTAGATGATAAATTGCACGATGCATATGGTGCTAGCAAACGTTCCTAGAAAGCTAATGAGTGGACCTGTATGATTTTTTTTTTAAATTTCACCATTATAAAATCAAAGAGCATTTAGCTAATGGAACGCTTGGTCACCCCCCTTCTGCACTTCACCCCACCCTTTTTTTTCCCGTTTTGAAATGGTTTGTTACAGGCCTCAAGTTATACTTAGTAGTAGTACAGATAGAAGTAACACTTGTTACTAATACCGGTATTTATCTCAAATATTTCGTTTTCCTTTAAAGTGGTGTCAAAAGAAACTGAGTCAGAGGCAGCCTCTACTTCGACCCATGGTACCAATGAAGAAAGAACGGAAGCAGATATCGATGTAAACGAAGTCCAAAGTTCTGAGTGTACTTATCCTGAAAGGTTGGTTTAATGATCTTTAAAAAAATGAAAGCATGGTGAATGCTTAATTCTTTTTAAGTTTGGGAAGAAAAAGTTTTAACATTTCAGTTACGTATACTAGTTGACGAGATTTCTTTTATGTTAATACTGTAAACACACTTTTTTACGGGGTCAATCACCTATTTGGTTTTATCCACGGGTAAAAAGTTGTGCGAATTGTTTGTATGTCAAGGAAGTTAATATTTCTTCTTACTAATTACTGCATTTCCTTTAAAATTTTATTATCGCACTGGTTATGTACTGACTAGTTGCCAGTCCGAAATCAAAGAGGAATAAAATTAAAAAGATATATATGATTTAAAATTTATGATATCGCATGCATTTAAGAAATAAGGTATCATTTTTAAACATCTATCGGGATATAAATACGGGTTGGTCACGAGATCAAATTCCATAAAGCCCGAAGGGCTTTATGGAAAATTTGATCTCGTACCAACCCGTATTTATATCCCGATAGATGTTTTAAAATGATACCTTATTACTTATATTTACATTTGTGACTTATTCATATTATTTATTAGCCTGATTATAACCTTTAACGCATGAAATGTTTTATTTTTTCAAACTCAACGGCACGAGTTTGATCTATTGATTGCGCGTCAACCCTTTATGACGTCACTGAGAAATTACGTCGAACGTTTATGACGCGAGGAACCCGTGTTTATACGGATATAGATACGCGTTGCTTTTAATAGTGTTATATAAAGGAAAACATTTACAAATGTAAATATGATATTTTAATTGACGTGTATATGCAATTTTTACTTTTCAAAAAGTTATTGGGTCATATAAATATCCGCTTGAGAAAAGGTGTCCTCTGTCACATGTCGAGATCTCAAAAGAAAAAAAAACAATTAAAAAGAATATTAATAATTGTCGGTATTCTGCTTTTTTATCATAATTTTATTCCCCACCTTTCTTGTATTAAGTAAATCCAGTAAAACTTTTTACTAACTAGAACGAATGCGGAAAAGGAATCAGAGTTTGAATGTTGCAGTGAACGTGACCAGTCACCATCGGTAACCAAACCCAAGAAAAGGAAAAGGATTACATTAGATGTTTTGCAGACAATGCAGTATGAGGTAGCAAATGTTTATTACAGTCTAGTTATTACTAATAACTGGTACAACTGAGTATATATTGAGAAAGGTTCCTTCCTACTTAATTCAATACTAGTCTTAGTTAATAAAAAATATTTTGCTTTAATTGTTTAAAGAACATAAAAAGAAATTCATAACCTAATTTATTATGATCTAAGAAACAAATGGAGATGTTTCTGTTTAATTTATGAGAAGATATAAAATCTAATACCCCCCCCCCCTCCCCCAACTCCCATAACTTTTTAAAATCTAATTGAAATATGGAATCATTACTTTATTCAAAAGTCAGTGGAGTTGAATTTCGTCGTCTTAAGCCACGGTCTGGTGTCCTCTCATAGTTCTTCTGCCCGTGGCTACTTGAACAAATTAAGAATAATCACGCCTAATGTGTGGCGTCGTTATAAATCAATGAAAAAAAGCTTATATCACCAATTAAAAACAAAGGTTGCGTAAATTGCGATTGGATAATGAAAGATCGCATTAATTTCCGACTATGCTTTACTCGCATTGGTCAATATTTTAATGAGCTAGGAAATATTCTCGTCTCATTCAACCACGGCCAGAATAAGAGGATTATACATTTGGAGGAATATCCGAATTGCCAACTATTATATGCCTTGTCTTTAAAACTTTTCTTTATTATTGACTCTTTATGCAAATTTTATGATGCCAGAAAGAACACACTGGGCTGGAGAACACTAAAATGCGGATAAGTGGTTTAATTTGCCTCCCCCCTTTACGTGCTTTTTTTTTTAATTCACTTCATATACAGCTTTATGGGGACTGTTATGCTATGCAAAGTGCAGTTCTTCCACAATATATTTTGAGGTAAAATCTTTTGATTGCAGGTGTTACGCACTCAGAGAAGACAACTGGAATTGAAGAGTATGAAGCTGGAGAGAGACATAGAACGGGCGGATTTAGAGAAAGAAAACATGAAATTGCAAAATGAAAAATTGTTATTAGAAATTGAAATCATGAAACAGAGTGTATCTCAAAATGAAAATGCTCTTCTTGCATTGCAGGTCATCTCTGATGAATAGTTGTAATTCCTATAGAGAGTATGAAATAATATATATTTAAATTAAAAATATCTTTTAAATGAAATTCACAGTTTTATTTTTCACTACCCATGTCAATACTTATGAGGTACAGTTAATGTACAAGTGTAATTCCATAATCAATATTATGTTACTCTTCATCTTGTCTAAAAATAATTTGTCGTGATGAAGTTCCTGATGGCTCGTCCGTCCTCTGGGCCTTGATAGTTCAATTGACCAACGTCATTGTCATTATGTTCATCATCATCTTCCATTTCCTCCTTAAGAATCAACGCGATGTTATGAAGAATTGCACAGACTCCAACGACACTGCATACTTTAGCTGGTTTCATACGGATTTCTCCATGCAGAACATGAAATCTACGTTTCCACCATCCAAACGCTCGTTCTATAGTGGTTCGTGTCTGACAGTGGGCCGAGTTGTAAGCCTCTTGTGCAGGCGTTGATGGGTGCAGGTAAGGTGTAAGCAGGAACTTTGAACAGGCGTAGCCGCTGTCACCGAGAAGAAATCCATCTTCAATTCCACGGTGGGTATTTTCTAAAAATGCGCATACCTCTGATGCCCGGAAGATGTGGCTATCGTGGCTGCTTCCCGGCCACTGAGCATCAATATTGATGAACTTTCCTGTAAAAAAAAATTTTTTTAAAGGTTTTATCCAAAGCTGGCACAAAAAATATAAGATAAAAATTACTGCTTTGAGTGAACATACCCTCATGGTCGCAGATGGCTTGCACATTAATGGAGTGCCACCCCTTTCTGTTCACATATGTTGGTTCATCATCTGAGGGAGCCTGTATCCTGATATGGGTGCCATCAATACAACCAATTACCCCTGGGAACCCACCACGCGTGAAAAAAATTCTCTTTGCCTTTGACATATCTTCCTGTATAGGCCACTTCAGGAACTGGTCCTTCTTTGCGATGAGTGCATTTGTCACATCGTTGACGGCTCTACTGACTGTCCCCTTATCTACACCCATGGTGTCCCCGATGACTTCCAAAAAACTCCCGGAGGCGTAAAACCGCAGGGCAAGCATGACCTATATTAAAATTTCTGACCTATTTAATTTTCACAAATTAGAACTATAGATATTGAGTATGTTTCAAGCATTATTCCTCAATACACAGACATGCAATCGATATATTTTTATTCCCCGATCGATGGCAATATCCTGACTAGCGTTTTTACAAAAATCATCCATATATTAAACTGTTATCTTTAAAATGCATTTTTTTTGCGAATTTTCTCCCAATATTTGTGCTACATATGTATGTACCTCATTTTGTTCATATCACATTCTGCTTAAAGGGACGATCATTTGATTCTGGGAGGGGGGGGGGTAGTAAAATTTTTCGAGTCAGATTATTCATTTCATGTCAGTCAAGGACAGATTATTTATTTTCAAGATGATCAAGACAAATTATTTTCTTTTTCTCTGAAAAAAAAATTTGACAAGCACAAAAAAAAACCAAAAAAAAACGAGGACAGATTATTTTTTTCAATATTGTTTATTTCCGAAATCTGCCAGACCCCCCCCCCCCCCCCGAAATCAAATGGTTGTCCCTTATGCACATTAGTGCAAAAGTCAATAGCTATAAGCGAAGAATTTCTTGTTCATTTATAAATATTTCAAATATCAATAGCGTTTATCTATTTTTGTAAATAAACAAAAGAAACATATTTTTTTAAAATCATCGTAAAGTCTTTTTGGGATGAACGTCGGAAAATAAAAACCCCCCCACTAAAATGGAATCTTGATTTAAAAAATAATATCGGGACATTTATATTTCTATCTCGCCTGTAAGAATGCATTGATTCACATCATTTTATTATTAATAAAATAATTAATATCACTGTTTATAACACATATTCACAACCTTATCATCGAGGTTTTACTATGAGTTAAATTGACGTCATATTCATAGTTGTGACGTAACTCATATAGGCCTACATATGATTTTAGATTTGAGAGAGAGAGAGAGAAAGAGAGAGAGAGAGAGAGAGACAGAAATAGAAAATTTTGTCACCTGCATTTCAACTGAAATGGACTGACTACGTCGAGTGGTTCTCTCCAAATCATCTCTCAGTAAATCAACAATAAAATGGAGTGATTCGCGCTTAAAACGGAACCTGGACCGAATTTGTTTATCGGAGAGATCGGCCATGTCTACTCTTTTGCGGTAATTGCGATTTTTCTGCTCCTCAAACAAATTTCCAAACAAAAGTAAATTCGCCATCTTTGTTTTAATGATTAGTTAAATATTTAATGTACCTTGTATACCTCAATTAAATCTGTCAGTTAAAAGAGAAGTTTAACTAATGTTTAACTAACAGTTTGTTTTCGTGCAACCCGTTTAACTCACCGTTAAATTTAATGTCGCGTTAACGTAAAGTTAACGGCCAGTTAAATTTAACTAACGTTCGTGCAACCGAATCCTGGTGCTTATTTGTTTTTTTTTTTAGAAGAAATGAATAACATGCATAAATTACTGGATACGAAGCAGGGTTTGACATTAACTTTTACATGTGATTTTTTTTAACCACGCCTATCGATGATGCCTATTGTAAAGACTGCGGAAAGCTGACCTATAAGTGCCATGACTGCTGACCTATTAGTGTTAAGACTGCGGACAGCTGACCTATAAGTGCCATGACTGCGGACCTTTCAGGGCCATGACTGGGGACAGCTCATCTATAAATTCCATGGCTGCTGACCTTTAAGTGAACTGATTACTGGCTGCTAACTTATAAGTGCCATGACTGCTGAAAGGTAATCTATTAGTGCCATGACAGCTGACCTATAAGTACCATGACTTATGACAGCTGACCTATAAGTGTCATGTGTACTTGCAGCTGACCTTAAGGATAAATCACACAAACTTTTTTCTTTCAAAATTCAGATATCTTTGCTAAATCAGGTGCCTTTCTTACTTTAGGTGTGACATATTATTTTGGTGAAAAAAGCAAAACTGCAATCTTACAGTTCAAGATATTTTTTAAAAAGTTTTAAATATGTATGAATTTTTTATTGCTGCAAAGTTTCCAGGGACATTTTCAAGAGTGAATTTTTACATTTTACACAATCAAATTTTTTAAATTACATTTTCATTGAAAGAAATATTGAAAAAAAAATACCAGTGTAACTCTTCTGTTTGGGCGATAAGAAAATTTGTTTGTGGTATGCATCCTTAAGAGTCACAACAGTTGGCAAATGACAAAATATGGTGTATAATATGTATTTGTCCCTATATCTGACAAGAACTATAGATAGCCACATTTTACCTGCCACAACTACTCGTTGTAATAGTTTAGTCATTTGAACTCAGAAAGATATTACACAACAATGAGATGATCATATACCTAAGTTTAATAATTCAGGATTAGTTTTAATTACTAACAAAAATAATGGGAGTCTTGAAAATAAAGAACATGATGCAAGTAACAATGAAATCAATAAAATTTAATCAATTTACTATAAGACACACAAGCATGATAGAGTTTTGATGCTTAAAAAATTATAAATCAGTTAAACACAATAAAAATTTGATGGTATGCTGTTTTAAGTCCCATTCCAGGATGTTTCACTCAGAGACCATAACAAACATATTAAATCCTTATGACTGGAATATCGACATTTTGTTGAAAACTTATTGCTGAGAAAACCATGTATTGAACAAATAAAAATAATAATAAATTTGAGATTTTTAATGTCAATAGGTTTAATTGAAAAAATAACATAATTAGGCTAGACAGATTAAAACAAAAGTAAAACAAATTTAGAAAAAAAAGAAGAGGCCCACGGGCCTTATAGGTCACCTGAGTATCATGTAACAACTTTCCAACAATTGAATTTGGTTTGTATTTTAAACCAGAGGCCATGTAAATCACAATTTTGAAAGAGGCACCATTGCTCATCATAACTATACAGTAAGCATGCTTACATTGATTACTTAATACCCAGATGCAGAGCAGAGGAACAAACAAAATGCATTTCCACTATATAATCAGTAGTGCCCCAACCCACAGGAACCACTGACCCTGGAGCCACACATTTCACAATTTTGGAAAAGGCACCCTTGCTCATCATAAATGTTTGATTAATACCAAAGAGCAGATTTCAAAACATTAATTCATTTTCAGTATATAATCATTAGAGCTCCCCCCCCCCCTCACGGTAACCCTGACCCAGAGGCCATGAAATCCATAATTTTGGAAGGGCACCCTTCATCATCATAAGTATATACTTAGATCATCTGCATAATACCCAGGAGCAGAGGAGAAGATTTTCAGAGAATTAATGCATTTTCTCTATATAATCAATAGAGTCCCATCCTAACACCAGAACCCCTGCCCCTGGGGTCATGAATTTCACAATTTTGGTAGAGGGCTCAATGCTTATAACAATCATTTTAACAGTTTGATGTTCAGGTGTAAAGAAGAAGATTTTGAAAGATTGCATTAATTTTTGTGGTTTTTGCCCCACCTCTCAGGCCCAAGGGGGGGGGGGGGGCAGAGGCTATGAATTTCAAATTTTGTTCCGCTTCACCCATAGATGCTATATGCATTTTGATAAACTCTAAATAAACAAGATGTACGTGTTTGTGAAACACTGATGCCCCTGTATGACAGCCCTATTAACTGTTGATGGTACGTGCTATGCCTACCATTGTTGTAACGGGTGATGGGGAATCAGGGTTCGATTCTGGAGAGGGAGCCCCGTATGGCAGCTTATGGTGAAGGTTAAAGTTTCTGAAATTTTTAATGCAAGTCAAAGTCCAGGCCAAAAGATAAAAAATGTTGGTACTCAAAGAAAGGTCTTGTCTCGAGGAATATACCTGTAAAAGTTGAAAGCCCTAGCTCCAACTGTTAAAAGTTATGACGAAGATTAAAGTTTTTAAAAGTAAGTAAAACGTCAAGGTCAAAGTTGTTGATATCCAGAGGAAGGTCTTGTCAAAAGGATTACATTCCTCTGTTAAAAATGCAAACCAGTAGAGCTACAGTCTCATCAGAGACTTCTGGTTTTAAATGATTATCTTCACCTTTTGCAAAATATGACTTCATAATCATATTTGTTTACAAACAGCACAGAATTTTAGAAGTGGCAGAGTTAGGATAGCATCATAATTAAAGTGTAAAACATTATATTAATCTTTAAATTCATCTTTAAATTTGCCCTCCGCCAAATATGGAAGGGCAAATTTATAGATCTCTCACTGCTAACTAAAACTGCTTGTGAATTGCAAGATTATGAATCACAAGGGGACATTACATTTAAAGAAGGGCGTCTATGCATTGTTAAACCAAAAAGGAATACCTTTCTCACGATCGATAGGTGGACCTCGGCTTTCATCATATTTACAAGCATAATGTTGGAGAAATTTCCAACACGGGCTCAAGAACTACTTAAGTGTCTCAGAGATGTAAGAATTACTGCTACTAGGTCAAACAATTGGTTTAAATACGATGAGCAATTTCGTTTAAAAATGGCCAACCAGCCCCAGGTGTCATGGGGGCATATAAATCAAGAATTTTGGCTTTTGTACATATCCAACAAACACGACACGTACAATAGAACCTTGGCTTCTCAAAGTCAAAGCTCTTACACAAACAATCCAAACCGTACTTCGGCATTTTATTGTAATCATTTTAACAAGGGAGTAAGTTGTCCTTTCTTCCCTATGTGCAAGTACAGACATGCATGCAGCAAGTGCGGAGATAATCACCCAAGTAACAGATGTTCAAAATACTAGCTGTATATATTCTTTGGGCACAACATCAATCAAGTTGCAAAACCTTCGTAAACACTTAGTTGGGTACTCAGACTGTGAATTTATATTGCAGGGTTTTAAGTATGGTTTTAATCTCCAATATTTGGGCTCTAGGTCACTCCGTGAATCTTTAAACCTCCCTAGCCTCAAGGCTAATATAGTAATGGCTGAAATGAAAATGCAAAAAGAAGTAGCATTAAAACGAGTCGCAGGCCCTTTCGTTCACCCACCATTCCAAACCTTCAGGTTGCCCCTTTAGGCCTTGTGCCTAAA